GACCTCATAATCTGAAGAGGTCGACCAGTGGTAGTTTCGCACAATTTGAAATACAATGAGACAATAACTCGCACTTTTGCCTTCATAGGTCGACCTCAGAACCATCATAGGTCGACCTCGGCTAAATGAAAACGAGCATAAAATGGCCCAAATGATGGTACCAATTGAGTGCAAAACAGATCCGGTCGACCTCATAATCTGAAGAGGTCGACCAGTGGTAGTTTCGCACAATTTGAAATACAATGAGACAATAACTCGCACTTTTGCCTTCATAGGTCGACCTCAGAACCATCATAGGTCGACCTCGGCTAAATGAAAACGAGCATAAAATGGCCCAAATGATGGTACCAATTGAGTGCAAAACAGATCCGGTCGACCTCATAATCTGAAGAGGTCGACCAGTGGTAGTTTCGCACAATTTGAAATACAATGAGACAATAACTCGCACTTTTGCCTTCATAGGTCGACCTCAGAACCATCATAGGTCGACCTCGGCTAAATGAAAACGAGCATAAAATGGCCCAAATGATGGTACCAATTGAGTGCAAAACAGATCCGGTCGACCTCATAATCTGAAGAGGTCGACCAGTGGTAGTTTCGCACAATTTGAAATACAATGAGACAATAACTCGCACTTTTGCCTTCATAGGTCGACCTCAGAACCATCATAGGTCGACCTCGGCTAAATTAAAACGAGCATAAAATGGCCTAAATGATGGTACCAATTGAGTGCAAAACTTCACAGGTCGACCTCATAATCTAAAGAGGTCGACCTCAGTCTATAAAACAAAAGGACATGGCGATTGAAAGCCAGATGCGGTCGACCACGAACATGGGAAGGTCGACCGCACGTGGCGTACAAAAGGGAAAATCCCTCTTTTTCAAGCTACAGATCTACAAAACACGGCTAGAAATAATAGAAAGACATCACAGGTCGACCTAAAAATCATCATAGGTCGACCTCAGTCCATAAAACAGAAAGGAAAAGCGGAATGAAAGCCAGATGCGGTCGACCACGAATATGAGAAGGTCGACCGCACCTGGCGTACAGAAGGAAAAATCCCTCTTTTTCAAGCTACAGATCTACAAAACACGGCCAGAAATAGTAGAAAGACGTCACAGGTCGACCTCAAAATCATCATAGGTCGACCTCAGTCCATAAAACAGAAAGGAAACTAGATTACAAGTCAGTTGCGGTCGACCACGATGATGAACAGGTCGACCGCTTCTGACGAACAGAAGCAAAAACCCCTCTTTTCCATCTTTAGATTTTTTGAAAACAAAAGGAAGAAGACAAGAATCAACCCAAATGAAAAAGAAGAGTGAAAAGCATTACCTTGTTCTTCTTCTAAGTGATGAGGATGAAGGTTTTCAAGAGTTTTTGGAAAATGGTGTTTTTGGAAATGGGAGAAGAAGATGAAGAAGGGAAAGGAGAGGAAGAATGAGCGGATGTGGGGGGGATAGGGTTCTGATTGTGGTGTAGAATGAGTGGGGGAGGATTTCTTAAATAGAGGATGGAGGGAGGTTTGGGTGGGTGGTCTGGTCAGGTCAACCGGTTTGGTCGGCCGTATTAAATGCGCGGTCGACCGCGCTAAAGTGTTCGGTCGACCGCCTTTGGTCCGGTCAACCGGAACTTTTATGAGGTCGACCGTTTATGACTTTATTTCAACCCACAATCAATTAACTCATACATTAGTAAGATAATTCGAAGATAATACAATGCAATCACAGTTATTAAAAAATAAAACAACTCCTAAAAAAAATAGAAGAAATTTAAGATCCTTTTTTGGGACTTTGTTTCGGGCACTTGGGGCGAAAATGACCATATTTCCCACATTTCGAACACTTTCTCAAACTTTTGCCCGATGCAGTTCGTGCCGACTTGAATGTCCCCTTGGTCTTCCCAATTTTTGGATCTTTCACACTTCGAAGGGGTGCTGGAGGGTTTGCCGGTGTGGTGTTGTCTTCTCTCTCCTTCGCGAACTCAATTGCCCATTGAGTAAGGTCGTCCAACGTCTTAGAGACATGATTAAAAGCAGATTCACTACCACACGCGATGTCACATAAACGCTTACACTTTAGAGCCAATCCTCCATGTCTTATTAGTCGACCAACTCTCTCTCCCACATCACCTCCAACTCCAGGATGACGATTTAGTGTCTTCGCATTTTGGGTCCATCGAAGCTTGAACCAAGTCGAGGGTAGTGCGGTGTATCCCATATTTTTTATTACTGTAAGCATGTGTCTGCATGGAAACCCCTTAGATTCAAATAATGCACACTCGCATTTGAGATCTTGAGTGGACGTAGTAAATGTTAACCGCCTTATCCGATCTGGGTTCATGTAGTTCTTCAGTATGAATGTCTCTGTCCCATCTGATTCATTTCTTCTCTCCGCTAATACATAAGAAGCTTCATTCTCTAGTTCAGTCTTGAAGATAGAAAATGTACGATGAGTGTAGATACTTTCAGCTTGCATTTCCCAAGTGCGCAGGGCATGCTTGCAGACCAACCTCGTGTGCCTAGAAGAATAATCATCCTGCGTCTCCGTGAAACGCATCCCCTCCAGTGCTTCATCAATGCCCTGAACAAAACGTTGCAAGCTGTATTGAGTTCCCACATACCCATTTATCCAATGGTTACATGACTCACATCGCGAGGTTGATTGGAGTCCACCGAAATAAATATCCTTCAAGTATGCCTCTGCCCACAGTAATTTGTCAGCGTACAAATCCTGCAACCACTTATTTGCAGACAAGCCATGCTGACTAATCAAAAGATCCCAACGCCTCTCAAACTCCTCAATCGATATTCGTGCTTTCGCCAAGTAAGTGAATGCGCTAACGAACTCCTTATTATGAACGGCTGTTGTCGCATTTGTCTCAATATGCCAAATACAAAGACGGTGAGGCACTCCAACCAGAACAGTAGCAATGGCACCACGCATAGACTTGTCTCCGTCTGTGATCACTGAAGTGGGCATCTTAGAGTTCATACACTCCAGAAAAGTATTCAACAACCAAACATAGTTGGGGATTGTCTCGTTATCCAACTGGGCAAAACCATATATGATGTTACGGTGGTGGTGATTTACACCAACCATCATAACAAATGGTCGATTGTACCTGTTGCGCTTGTAGCATGCATCGAACGCCAAGACATCCCAAAAAAATGGTAATCTGCTCTAGATGTGGAGTCCGACCAGAAGAGATTGCCTAATTCACCTTCATCGTTGGTTGTGTACTTGAAGAAGCTGCCCGCATCAGAGCTATGTTTACTTTGTAAGTAACCCAATGTTCGGTTAACATCTCCTATTAGATCGTCGTCAACTGTTCGGGATTGCTGAACAGCATTGTCCAAATCCTTTGGAGTGTACCCCAGATTCTCATATCCTCCAACTTTATTCTTCATGAACTGAACAATGTTGCGTTGTTTTATTCCTGACTGTCGCATCCCTATCGCAAGAGCCTTGTCTCCTTCACTCACATTTCGATGAGACCGAAGGAATTGAGTTTCTTCTTCATTGCAGCAACGATGTGAGTGCTTCCTCTCAAACTTAGAAACAACCCACATTTTCTTATTCCGATCAAATCGTACAGTATACGATGCCTTGCAAGAATGTCTTGTCATCTTACGATGTTGCCGAATCCGACCTTCTTTATCTATATGCATCTTACCTCTAGTCCCCTCTCTCGAACATACCATTGTCCTCCCAATTGCTACTCCTCGACGACTCCTCCGAAGATCTCTACGTCGAACGCTAAATCCTTTCGCTTTAGCATAGGAATCGTAAAATTTCTCTGCATCTTCTAATGTTTGGAACTCCATGGAAGGAATTTGTTGTTCATATTCAGTACCTTCTTCATCATCCATAAATTCTTCTTCTGCACCCTCGGTTTCATAATCATCTCCAAACACTTCATCATCGGTATTATCTGTATCATCTGAATTATCCATAGCTCCTTCTCGAGCATCATTAGGTTCCTCATCGAAGTTAACCTCATCATCATCTCTATCGTCTGTATCATCTCTGTTATCCATCCTGCAACGACCGGAATACGAACTTTATGTCAAAACATACACAATTAGCTCTCGTCAGGTCGACCTCAATGAACAGGACGGTCGACCTTATTACTAAATAACAAACATGCAACGATCGGAATACGAACTTAATGTCAAAACATACACAATTAGCTCTCGTCAGGTCGACCTCAATGAACAGGACGGTCGACCTTATTACTAAATAACAAACATAAGGTCGACCTAATTTACTGAAAGGTCGACCTAATCCTATAACTACGAAAGAACGGTCGACCGGATGGTGTTTGTGGTCGACCGGATGGTGGGAAAAATTTAGCCACATAGAACCATTAACAAGCATATACGAGGCATACCTTAGCAACGAGGTCGGCCACTTATTGGTACGGTCTACCGGAATAAAAATAAACCGCCACCAACACCCGATCACAATAAGAGCGATGAGATTATAACTTCACTCCAACAAATTGTAAGATTTCGTGGTACGATTAATGTCTGAAGACTCCCATCTATTTATAGATAATTTAGATGAATTCCTTATCCAATTGGTTCAAGATATATAAAATCATAATTCGACAAGGACAAGTACACAAAATCCTAATTGTACAAGGACAGGAATCATCACGGTCGACCTCTTTGCACAAATGGTCGACCGTCTTGGGTAAATGTGAAACAGGTCGACCTCTTTACACAAATGGTCGACCGTTGTTTTTAAATGTGAAACAGGTCGACCTCTTTACAGAAATGGTCGACCAATGATTATAAATGTGAGCACAGGTCGACCTCTTGACAAGAATGGTCGACCGTACTTTTATTAAGGCCAAACAGACGAGTATCCATACTTATTTTACATGGTTTTTGACTTTCCTACGGTATCATAGGTCGACCTTAAGCTTCACGAGGTCGACCTGTGCTCTGCCTTTGGGTATGCCCGCTTTGAGTATGTGGTCGACCACTTGTTCTAGACGATTGAAATCGTAAATTCAGTCACATACATAATTGTATAACAAATCTAATAAACGATAAACATTCAAAATCCAAAATGAAACGATCTCGCAAATACAAAATAAATGTATGGTCCAAATAATGCAACATTGTAACTTAACGACTTCATTTCTTTGCTTTTTTCTTGGAACTCTGTCTCTCTTTGCCTCGTTCCATGCATTCATCTACTACTGCCTTGAAAAGATTTTCTCGTGCACGGTTTTCAAAATGTGTAGCCAGATACCATAGAATCTCCTTTCGAGCCGGTAATTTGTGTTCTTCTCCTATCTGCATTATGCCATGTAAGATTTCGTTACAACTAAAAAAAGTGTAAATTATACTAGTTATTTGTTTGACGATATACTCACCACTCTATCAAGATCCTTGGATCCATAGCGCATCCACTGCATGACGTGCACACCACACTCAGTACTATTCCTTTGTCGTTGAACTGGTAGCTCATCAAAATTGAAATCTCCAAAATTTGGTACTACTACATTGCTCGTGCGCTCTGGTTTCAAAATATCATCCAAAGTGGACAACTACACACAAATAACGAATATTTTAAACTTCTAGCATACTACGTAACGCTTAGTAGTCAGAAAATTATAGGAAACACTTACCAATTTCTTGCATAGTTCTGATTTACGCCTACGATTCGCCTCAATAGTTGAAGGTAGACTGTCAAGCAAAAATGCAGTTTTTTGCTGGACATTGACGAGATACAGAAACCAATGACGTGCTTCATCTTCAAGAACTGGCATAAATATCTAGCAACGAAACACTCACTATATGTTATAAACAGCGAATACAAACAAATGCACTTTCGAAATTTAATGATATAGGGACATTGACTAGACTAACCTTCTGGCATGCACTGACATTCGGCATAAAGTCCACGCCATCATTCATCAACTTGTTACGAATTTGTCTGGTCTTCATGTTAGCGCGTACCATTTTCTGCACCATGTTTTAGTTGAGATGAATTGACATGGTACAATATAAATAACTAGGTTATGACAAATAATTTGACATTACGGCTCTTACCGAAAACATATTTGGAAAATACCACACATTTGGCTCTTTCATATCATGTTTTTCAGACATTGTTAGTGCCCTTGCACACAAATCCACTACCTACCATCCAACAATAAAACACAAAATCATCGTAAATCGTAACATAAATAGTGCACAATTCATACGAAAGTCGTAGTAGTATAGTACTTACTGATGAGCAAACCCAGCTTTTCTCGCTAATGACCGAACTCAAATAATGTCGTTGCAGGTTTTCAGAAAAAAAGTCCACAATCATCAAACTGCAAAAATCAAGATAACAGAAATGTCAATTGTTTTTTTGCAACGTACAGGTCGACCTGTACACAGTCAAGGTCGACCTTATTGGACACACGGTCGACCTTATTGGACAACCGGTCGACCACACGTACTAGAAAAACGTCTTACTTGTCCCAATTCTTGTCCCCAACCTTCTCTTTAGTAACAACATAATACAAGTCTTCAACTGGATTTTGAAGATTTTTGGTGAATCCTTCTAGACCCTCCACTTTCATGACCTACAAATCATAGTTAAAATTAAAGTAACATATGAACACAAACACACATTATAGATGAAAATGTAACGTAAACTTACCCCGTGCTTTTCGAAAGGACTCTTAGATTCATCTTCATCGCTATCATCACTAAATAATCCCTTTCTTACAAATTGATCCTTCTGTGGAGTGGTGTAGGAGTCACTTTCATATCGCGGTCTCTTGTAATTAGGAGAGGAACCCTTGCGGCCATTCTTTGTTTCACTCTGTCAAACATATAAACAAAACAGATTAGCACTAATGATAGTAATACTAATATCTTCAATCACATATGAATATACTTGGATACCTTTAAAATGTGCTCTTTAAATAAATCGTCTATGCTCTGGTAGCAATTTTCAGAGTCATCATGGTCTTCCTCCTCTTTACCAAAGTCAAATTTCTTTCCTTTACCATTTCTTCCGCCATTCTCCATTCGTTCTGCACTTATATCTTTGATAGCACCTCTAGCCTCTCAAACCCGTCATGCATCATCCCAGTCATATCTGTCAGTCGAACTGACAAATGCTCGACTTGTGTTTGACACACCACCAGCTTCTCTTGTGTGGCTTTCAACAATTTCATGATTTCACCCAAATCTTGATGCAGTTTCTCATCATGCGTCATCGTCTAAACAATTTAAAGAAAAATTAAAATCATAATTCAAGTACAAATTTCTATAATTGACCAAAAAACAAAGACGTGGTCGACCTGACAGAGTATTATGTCGACCTGTAAGACAAATAGTGACTACCACAACTCGTCAGGTCGACCTCGGTTATTCCTAGGTCGACCTATCCAGCAGGAAAATAACAATTACAAACAAATAGTAAGTTCAAAATTAAATCGAAAAAAGGACAGGTCGACCAGATATCTGGCGCGGTCGACCTTTTCAAGCACAACATAGTCATACAAACAAAGCCAAAGTCGACATTCAGGTTGAATAACCAAAAAAACATATACGGTCGACCTTGAAACTCATTAGGTCGACCGATTGGGTTACCTCGCAAGTACAGAACAAGTGTTGTGGCCTAAATTCAAATACGAAGAATTGTCTCGTCAGGTCGACCTGGTTGACGTCGCGGTCGACCGAATTGGATTCTGCACCCAACAATATATCAAGTTAGCCGGTGGAAATCACGCATTAAAAAAGAAGACGGCGAATGCTACATTAGGTCGACCTCACCTTAGACCTGGTCGACCACTTCCAACACGTACAACAGCAACCGCGAACGATCTTTTTCACAAAGGCTCTAAGTCGGAAAAAAACCTAATTCAGACTTGGTGGCGTTGAAGGGGACTCATATTCGTATTTATAGAGATTTAGGACGTGAATGGGTCGACCCAATTCGTTTCCTTGTCCAATTGTGGAACCTTTCTGGTGTTGGAATCCATATCCAATACGGATACGGTCTGAAGGCGGTCGACCTCTTCACAATGCGGTCGACCTATTAGGTGCACAAGGGTCGGCCTATGCGATATTTGGGTCGACCTGTCATTCTGTTAGACCACTAAAACGGTCGACCGCAGTTTGTAAGAGGTCGACCGCCTTCAGGAACCCAACATACATGAATTAGCCCATTCGGTCGACCGCAAGTTGTATTCGGTCGACCGAAAAGTCCATGTCACGGTGACATGCATGTCACCGTAGCAAAATCCTAATAATTAATAATAATATTCCCAAATATAGACTTAATACGAATTAATAAGAAAAGATACGCAAGCCCAATAATTAATGAAATGCTACGATGGCTCGATCTCGTAACATCCCTCCCCTTTTAAGCGCGACCTTGCCCTTAAGGTTGGTAAAATGTTCATACTTGTTTCAACCGGGATCGATGTAGAAGAACCTTTCCCATGTGTTGATGATAACTTGCGAGACTTCCAGTTTCGCTCTGGCTAGGGACGGAGCCAGCATTGGGGAAGGAGGGGCCATGACCCCCCTAAAATTTCTGAGTTTTAACGTTGATATAAAGATTATAGCAACTTATTGCCAAATATTTGTCCATAGTCAAGCGGAGTTTGCCCTGTTATCAGGTTGGTGTTCTTGTAAGAAGAAAGTTCCATGGATCGATTCTTTTAACCTCTATTATTGCTAACTTCTCTTCTCTTCAGGTATATTTGTGTACTCTTTATTTGGCCATTTTACTTTGTTGTTGGTAACTTTTGTTGTAGTGTATATGTAATTTATTAACATTTAAAATGAACATCTAGACATTATCATTTGTGAAGTTCTGATTTCACTTTTAGTGTTGTTAACTTATTGTTTGAAATATATATGAATACTCTTGAAATGTAGCATTATATTGATTCCAAAACTTAATTAAAAATCTTATTTTTCAACTTAAATATCAAGAGAATGTGTAATTTCTTCCAAGAGTTAGAGGTAGTCATTTCTAATATAGGACTTTGAAACATCGTATGTTATTTCTACAGTTATACTTCGTATTCACCTTGTTGTATGAATTAAATTTCTTCAATTAATTCTATTATTTTGGATGATTTTTGAAGAATCAATAAAAATATTTTCATCATTTTTCGTTGAAAAAAAATTGATGGCCCCCCTAACTTCAAATCCTTACTCCGTCCCTGGCTCTGGCACTCGAACAATTCCATCTTCTACCGCTCCAATGTAATTGAGCTTTCTTCCACGTCCCATTGTGCCTGCTTCCTCGTAATTTGCACCCTCCCATGCGGCTAGCGTCCCACTAATTGTCCACTGCTCTTCACAAGCAAACAAACCCCAAATTGCAACATAGTTAAAGGATACATCACCACCACTTAAGGCCTTGACACCATACTCGACTCGGCCTCTTTTCATTGGCCATAAGTGCCTTGCCGCCTTGAGAACTAGAAACTCGAATGTGACTGTAATCATAACATCGAGTCCACCAAATTGCATCCTCATGGCATCAAGGTGGAACTCAGGAGTATGAGAACTCAATGGTTGTGGATAAATGAACATCTGACTTCACAAGACTGGTACGATACAACAAACTCCCAATCAGTCCACCCATAGATGGTCCGATGCAACCTAGAACTGAGCCTCGACTTTCCCCACCATCGTGACTTTGTGTTTACACCTAAAAAAATATTAGTGTACCACATTGATTACTTACAAGGCACTAACTGCCTTTATCAGGCCAGATCATTAATAAAAATTAATATTATTTAAACTGGGCTTCATGATACTAGTTTTTAAGCCCAAATCACTAAGTCTCCAAGAAGGAGCTAGTCTCGTCGCGAGTTGGGTATCCCGACGTGGTCATGAGGTGTAGACTGCATGGGCATCAAATCTAGAGCCCGACGTGGTCGCGGGATCTAGACCGCATGGGCATCAAATCTGGAGCTCGACGTGGTCGCGGGATCTAGACCGCGTGGGCATCAAATCTAGAGCCCGACGTGGTCGCGAGATCTAGACCGCGTTGGCATCAAATCTAGAGCCCGACGTGATCATGAGATCTATACCACGTTGGCTTCAAAATTAGAGCTCGACGTGGTCATGAGATCTAGACCACGTAGGCTTCAAAATTAGAGCTCGACGTGGTCATGAGATCTAGACCACGTTGGCTTTAAACTTAGAGCTCGACGTGGTCATGAGATATAGACCACATTGGCGTGGTCATGAGATCTAGACCACGTTGGCTTCAAAATTAGATCTCAACGTGGTCATGAGATCTAGACCACATTGGCATCACATTCAGAGCCCGACCTGGTCGCGAGATCTAGACCACGTCGTGAGACTATGTCCAAGATCTGAACTAACAAGTTGGAAATAAGAAGGCAAGCCATGTGGGAGAGGCAAGTAACAAGACGACAGTTCCAAGATGAAGAACAGGAGGTTAAGGGAGAAACTGCCGATTATCCCACGTACAATGACACATAAGCCACGTCCGAGAAAGAAGGAGAGTAGTTCTTTTTGGAAGTTACTCTATGACAGTTTCTACGACGGTTAT